TCTTTCAAAGAACCAATTCTTTGATTCATTGAGTCTTTGGATTGTTTTCGTAGTCTCTATTACATTAATTTCTGCTCTGATTTTTATAATTTCCTTCCTTCTTTTGGCTTTGGGCTTGACCTGCTCTTCTTTTTCTAGATATTTGAGATGTAGCATTAGGTTATTTATTTGTATTTGTTTTGTTTTCCTGATGTGGGAACTCAGGGCAATAAATTTTCCTCTGAGGACAGCTTTCATAGCATCCCACAAATTCTGGTAAGTTGTATTTGTATTTTCATTTGCTTGTAGGTATTGTTTAATTTCTTCTTTAATTTCCCCTATGGCCCACTGATTGCTCAAGAATGTGATATTCAATTGCATGTGTTAGTGGGATTTTTGAAATTTCTTTTATTATTAATTTCTAGTTTCATGGTGCTATGATCCAATAACATGCAAGGGAGAATTTCAACTGTTTTGCATTTATTTAAATATGTTCCATGGGCTAATATATGGTCTATTTTAGACAATGTCCCATGTACTGCTGAGAAGAATGTATATTCTGATGTTGTTGGATGAAACATTCTGTATATGTCTATCAAGTCCATTTGTTCACAGGTGTGATTCAGTTCTGTTATTTCTTTCCTGTTATTCTGTCTGGTTGATCTATCCCTTGGTATCAATAGTGTGTTAAGGTCTCCTGTTATAATTGTGTTATTGTTAATTTGGTTTTTCACTTCTATTAATACTTGCTTTATATAACTAGGTGCTCTGGAATTTGGTGCATATATATTTAAGATTGTTATCTCTTGCTCTTGAAGTTTTCCCCTAACCAGTATGTAATGACCTTCTTTATCTCTTCTGATCATTCTTGAAGTTCACATTGTCTGCAAACAGAATAGCTACACCCCGCTTTCTTTTTGGGCTCCTGTTGCATGAAGTATTGTTTTCCATCCTTTGATTTTCAGTCTGTGAATATCCTTTTGGGTTAGATGGGTTTCTTGTAGACAGCATATGGTTGGATGTTGTTTCTTGAACCATTCTGCCAGTCTGTTTCCTTTAATTGGTGAATTGAGACCATTTACATTAATGGTTATAACTGTTATATATTGGTTTATTGTTGACATGTTATATTTCTGCTGTTGTATCTTTATCTTTCCATTCTGTTTAATTGTCTACTTTGCTTATTGTTTTTTTTTCCTAAGTGTATCTAAACTGTCTTTCAGTGTTCTTTGCAGGGTTGGCTTGGTGATCATGAAGTTCTTCAGCTGTTCTTTGTCATGGAAGTATCATTTCTCCATCAATTTTCAAGGTCAGTTTTGTAGGGTACATCGGTCTATGTTGGAAATAATTTTTCCTTTAGGATCTTAAATACTTCACTCCGTGCTTTTTTTGACTTTATTGTTTGTACTGAGAAGTCTGCTGTGATTTTGATAGGTTTTGATCTGTCTTTTCTCTCTAACAGCTTTTAATATTCTATTCTTATATTGGATTTCTAAGATGGTGATTATTATATGTCTGGGTGTAGTTTTATTTTGGTTATGGCTATTTGAAGTTCTATATGCTTCACTAATCCTGATGTCAGTTTCCATTATCATGTTGGGGAAATTTTCAGCTATTACTTCTTTAAATATCCTCTTGACATACTTTATATTGTCCCTTCTTTTTCATTTATCCCTATCAATCTTATGTTGATTTTCTTTGAATCATCTTGCAGCTGTTGAATTGTTATTTCCTGATTCCTTGTTATTTTTCCTATTCCCTAGCTGTGATCTTGTCTTCAAGGTCTGAAATTCTATCTTCACTTTCACTGAGGCAGTTTTGACAACTTTCAATGGAATTTTTGATTTCTTCTATATCTCTTTGAATCTGCTTCATGTATTCTGTTTGTTTCTTATATTGTTCATGCAGGGATTCTATCTTTTTGATTTTTCTTCTAATTTTTTAACTGTGTCTTCCATAGATATATTCTGCATCTCTTTCATTTCTTTCATCATTTCTTCTTTTATCTGGGAGATTATTTCTAGTTTGAATTCCTTTAAAGCTTCCCAGAGTTGCTTCTTTATTTCAGTTACTATTATTTCAGGTATTTCAGGTGTTTGGCATGTATTTTCCTTTATGTACATAGCTCCTAAGTTTTCTTGGGTTGGGCTGAAGGTTTGAAATTTTATTTTGGTCTTTCATTTTGTCATTTTCCTATATTTCCATGTTTCAAGTGTTATTCCAAGGCTTCCCCTGGGCCTGTTGGAAATTCTCTTCTATGCCCTCCACTCCTGGAAATCTGGCTGTCCAGTTTCCTGAATTGAGAAAGAGTCACTTGCAGTGGGGCATGCAGGCAGAGCCAGTCAAGTGTGGCAGGAAGCTGAGAATTTCATTGGCGGGTGGGAGAAATGATCTTCAACTCCCATGGCTCGGGATGGTACAGGGACACTCACTTCCTTCTGCCTACTTACCAGAATTGAGGGCGCAGGCAAGCCCAAGATCCTTGGAGCCGTGACTGTGATGAATCTTATGTTACCCTTATTTGCAACATCTAGCAACTGTGCGGATGAGTTTTTATGGTCCCCTACTATTTTAAAGAAATCTCTATTTTTGTGATCACTAATCATAATCCTGTCTTCTTCATGTGATCTGGTATCCTCACATTGTCATCTAAGTCATACTTTCTTTTTTTTATTTAAAGAAAAAAAACAGATAAAAAGGGTAGAAACAATACAGAATTTCAGGAAAATAAACAGTAAGAAATCAACAGTTGATAAGTTACATACTGTCATCTTAGAAATAGTTGCTTGAGTTACAAAATTAAAGCATACAAAGTGATATTCAAACAATGACATTGCAACGATTCAACAAGAACTTAGAAATATGGTTATCAGCCCTACACCCTTGTTTTTTATCTTAAAGAGGCTAAGATTAAACATAGCAAAATAGAACAAAACAGTTTATAAGGAAACAATTTAAAGAAACATAGATTTCAAAGCAAGTCCACTGGAGATCTTCACTGTCTATCTTATTTTCTCTAGTTTTCTTCCAAATAGGTGGAGTGGCCTCAGTGACTACCCGTAGGCTGAGCCTGCTGCCTCTTCCCCCCAGGCATTGGCTTCTGCAATGGAGAGCGGTGGAAGGTCCTGAGAAGGTTCTCACTCCAGATTCTCTGGAGCTTCAGGATGGGAAACAGGTTCATGGAGGAGCGGATCCTAGAGGAAGGCAGCTTTCTGCTGGAGTAGCTGTGGAAAACCAAAGGAGGGATCCCTGAATTCAGTCTGCACCCCTGAGTCGCTGCTGCCCTACTTGGTGGGCGGTGCTGGGAAGTCACATAGCAGGAGTGTCCTAAGTCATACCTTTACTGGACTTCTTTATGGGCTTTCCCCCAGTACTGGGAGTTGAACCCAGAGCTTTGAGCGTCCTAGTCAGACACTATGCTACTGAGTTTCATTACTGGCTTTGTGTGGAATTTTTATCTCTTAGATATCTTTTAGAATCTGTTTCATGAATCCCATTTCTTTCTTATTTTAGGCATTCATAGTTTCCACAACTTTCTTAAGATCCTTAATCTATTTTTTTAAACTGTATCTGTTCTAGAGTTACTAGCCATGACATTCACTGTGGTCACCGTTTCTGTAGTTGTCTGAGACATTATTTCTGGTTTGATGTTTTCTGTAGCCTCCTTCATCTGCTTTGTTACTTCTGCTGTTCCACTTCAGAGGGTCCAGGTGGGTGGCTTTGGAATTGTTCCACCTTACTGCTTCCTTCGGTGCACTAGAAGAGTCTGGAGTTACATCTTGCTTTTGCATTTCCTCATTTTCTTTTCTATTATATTGAAACCCTTAGGAAATGTCTACTTCTCAGAGAGTAGTTTTCTGGGGTATACATTGTTTTTGGGTTTTGAGTCTCTTCTGATTTATTTGGGATGAAAAGTTGCTGGCTTATTCCATTTTTGGTTCTTTTTGTTGTTGTTTTTGGTATTGGTCTCTAGTATTGTTTGTAACCCTCAGGCAGTCTCAATCTTGGCATACCAGGAAAAATAGCTGTTTAGAGCAATTATGTCATCTTGGTTAAAGTAGTACATTCAGGAATAATAATAGCATCCAGCACAGCATAGAAAATGACAAACTGTTAATTTGCCACCTTTAACCATAGGAATTAGATTTGTGGTTTCATAATGAAATCTAAAGCAGACCACAAAAAATGGCCACAAAATTGTATATAGTAAATATTCCTAAATATGGTGATTTCCTCTCAGAGGAGAAAAGTTACAAAGGACTGCGGAAAAATGTAAAGAAATAGAAAAGCAAGACATTAGAAGCAAGCTTGGAGGAGAAAGTAAGATCACATGAAGGTTGAGAAACTGGTAAACAAAATAGGAGGGAAAGAGAGGAGGAAGAAATAAAAACAAGAACAACAGGACAAAAGCAACAAATACTAGAAACAATGTTCATACTCATAAAAAGAAGAGCAAACAAGAAAAAAGACAAAACTATGTGCACTTCGAGGCATGTCTCTCCTATCACTGGTGGACAGGAGGGCTGGCAATCTCATGAGCCTGTCTTAGAGTCACAGCAGGGGAGTGGATGATCCCAGCAAACTCGCATTTCTATTTCCACTGAAGTCCAGGCTGGTCTCTCTGACGGCAAGACAGCAAGACTAGCTCCTAATTTGTTCACCCTGCAACACTCCATGTGCAGTTTGAAATCCCCTCCTTGATCTCCTGCCAACTTGAACTCAGTTCTGCCTCACCCTGACACTGAGAGCCATTAGATAGATGGAACACGCCAGGTGTTCTCTGTGTTCTCAGCTCCATGGATCCCTGTCCAAGATGTGTGAGGTGTCTGAACTCAAATAACTCACCAGCTCCTGAGTCCACTGTGTTCACTGCTGTGTTCCATGGGTGGATGCCTCCAGGGTTGCCAGCAGTCACCATACATCTAGAGGAGTGAGCCTCCCCTCTCATGCAGCAAATCAGGGCTCAGGGAGAAAGCACCGCTCCCACCTCCTGTGCTGAGGTCTCTCTTCTTTCCCCACAGGCTTCAAGTCTTGACTGAAATCCTTGCTGGGTCTCCAGAATCCACTTCTCTCCTCTTCCTCACATTGCTATATTCCAGTGTTTGGATGCCACATTTCAAAGAGGCTGTCTCTCTGCTGTTCACCACTCTGCCATCTTCCCGGAAGTCCTTTAATGGATTTTCAGAAGGTATGACCCTTTGTTTCTATCTCAGGTCATGTGAACAGCAGTAAACTATTTAGTTTTACTTTTCCACAAACTTTTGAGTCCCTTCTTGAAAGTAGATGTTTTCTGGCCTATGAAAACTCTTATAACCAAAACTCTTACATTATATCAGTTGATTATGCATTTTAAGTTTCGGATTAGTGAAATCTACACTAAATAGAGGTAGTGGAAATACTTCCTTTAAACAAGCAAGTTTAAGGTACAAGTTGTAATCCTAGTTACTCAGGAGGCTGAGACATGCTCAGGGGTTTTGAAGCCAGGAGGTTTGAAGCCAGCCTGGATAACTTATTGAGAATTTATCTCAATGTTTAAAAAAGAATGCAGGTGTGCCAGGAAGCCCTTCATTGGAAGAGTACCCTGGGTTTGTAGGAGACCAGACAATGAGGGTCAAGGTCTAATTGACCTTTTCCGTAAGCATGAAGGAGAAAAACAGCACACTGTGCACGTTTGGCTACATGTACATTGCCAGTCCCAAGGATGGGTCAAAGCAGCTGAGAGCTGGCTGTTTACCTGAGTGTGTATCATGGATAATGGGAGACAGAAGAACCTTTTGCTACCCTAATTGCTAGCTCCCGGGTCTAAATAAATAAAAGTAAGGTGGGCCAAATGGCATGGCTTTTTGTCTGGTACAGGCAAGAGTCCCCTGCCCCTCTTTCAGAGATGAATTCTATATCATGTTTTTAATCTATGTTTGCCCCCTCTAATTAGCAGGCTGGTTTCTCATGAGTTCAGTCCTCAGTATGGGAAAAAAAGTTATAAGCCAGAGAAAAATTTCATTTTATTTCCCTAAAGTATCTTTTTTGGTACTGTAGGCTAATGATCTTTATCAGAAAATCTGAAGATTTTTATAGTTTTGCATCTTTATCTTGAAGTTTTCTTTTTTCTTTCTTTTAGTGTTTTTGAGACAGGGTCTTTCTATGCAGTTCAAGCTGGCCTTGAGCTCACTTTGCAGCCTAGGCTGGTCTCGAACTCGAAAGGCTCCTCCTGCCTCAGCCTCCCGAGTGCTGGGATCTGGGATTATAGGCGTGAGCCACCATGCCTGGTTTATCTTGAAGTTTTCATTACCAGATTTAATGGAAAACATTTTTTACTCCTTGTAAATGGATATTTTAATTTTTTAATACTAGACTTGATGGAAATGATAATACAAAGTCATGTTAGAGTAGGTTATTTAGCATTGATACACTACATTTTTTGATAATTTTTTCCTTGGAAAAATCAGTTGTAAACAAAAACCTCTTTAGAACTGGGTATTTCTTTCTGTCTGTGAATGAACTGCACTCATTTATGGAAGATTCTCCTTTCATTTCACTCCCAAAGACACGGACTCCAAACATAAAGGGCAAGGTAGCGTGATCTCTGAGATAAATTGTTTTCCCTTTTTATTGAATTACTAACTAAAATATAAATTAAATTATTTTTCTTTTCTTCTTTGAGGTTTTTTTTTTTTGGTTTTGTTTTTGATGCCAGGAATTGAACTCACAATCTTGTACTTGTCAAGTGCTTAAGCTGCTGTGCTAAATCCCAGGTCCCTTTCTTTTTCTTCTTGAAATAGAGACAAAGATGTAAATATTTATGTATGTGTATGTACATGTAAATATATATATAAATAGATAAAATGCTTATTACAAGTGTCCCAGAATAACAAAACTTGAGAGTATATTCAATTTACAGGTGTCCTTCAAGTGATGTTAATTCTCTTAGTTTGTACAGCTGGATTTTTTTGGGGGTAGAGGAATACTGGGTATTGAACCCAGGGCTCTTGCATTTCAGAACTTGCATTGAACAGAACTGTTTGCAGTCTCACTGTTTGAATGTCCACTTTATATGCTTTAATTTTGTAACGAACAAATATTTCTAAGATGACAATATGTAATCCATTAACTAGTGATTTCCTACCATTTATTTTTTTTCTGAAATTCTGTATAACTTGTACCCTTTTTCTGCTTTTTTTTCTTTTTCTCCTTAAATAAAATTTAAAAAAAATCTATGGACCCTCTAAACTTGACAAGGGAAAGTGTGATAAGAAGCTGTACCACTGTACAAGCACTGTACCACTAAGCTACGTTCGCCACCCTCTTTTTTGAGCTGGGTCTTCTTAAGTTGCTCAGACTGACCCTGGACCTTGAGTAGCTGGTATTACCAGTGTGTATTTGTCACACTCAGCTTAATTCACTCAAGAAAAATTTAGAGTCAGTAAGTCACTTGCTTAAATGCTGAAATATAAAAGAGAGACTATTTGAGACTTGGCATCAGGGTGTCCCACATTACGCCAAGTGTTAAGGGTACCAAGAGAAGTTGGTTTGCTATGAGGCTTAAACCCATCACCCCTCATTTACATTAACGTCTTCTAAACCACAGTGTTCATATAGCTAATTTTCTTTAAAGTAAAATTAGCAAAAGTAAGATATTTAAATCTTAGTTAATTCTATTGTCTCTTTTTGCATACCTTCTTATCACACTTTCCCTTGTCAAGTTTAGAGGGGCCACAGATTTTTTTTAAAATTTTATTTAAGGAGAAAAAGAAAAAAAAGCAGAAAAAGGGTACAAGTTATACAGAATTTCAGAAAAAAAATAAACGGTAGGAAATCACTAGTTAATGGATTACATATTGTCATCTTAGAAATATTTGTTCGTTACAAAATTAAAGCATATAAAGTGGACATTCAAACAGTGAGAATGCAAACAGTTCTGTTCAATGATCCAACAAAACTCAGTAATATCATTGTTTATCTTATACACTTAAATATACATGCAGTTATATCCTTTAGAGCACTTTCTTTTCCTCTCTTTTGTACAATGACTATTACACATTTTGGGTTTTATTGCTCCCACAGTTCTTATTACTTTTTTTGGAAGAGAGTAAAACCAAATGTGACATAACAGAACAGAGTTGGTCAAATCAAAAGGGTGGACATAATAGATAATGTAAAAACATAATACAAGGTGATCAACAATGGTTACCATAATGCCTCCCACTATCCCAAATAGAATTGCCTATATCATCAGTTATAATAAAATTCAACAAAACAGTAAAGAATGAAACCAACAAAACCAAAACATTGGAGACATTACAGGTTTTCAAAAGTAGATAATAGTCAACCAGAATGGGCGTCATAATGAATCCCACTATCTTCACAGCTGTTGCCTAAACTTTCGAACCTGGTACTATCAAGCAAAACAGAATAGAGGAACATCAGTCAAAACAAGATGGTGAGAGCAATACAGGGCTTCAAATCAAGTTAATAGAAAATCAAAATGGGTTACTATAATATATCTTGCTATTTTCTTATTTATTTTTCCCTTAATTCAAAGGATAAAAATAAAAAGTAAATAATAAAATGGAGATTGAGATAAAAGAGGGCATAACAACAGAACAGTGCAGATCAAAACATAACCATTTAAGCAAAATAGTGTTTCACCACAAGATAATCCCGACATAAAAGTAGTTACCATATTGTCTCTTTCCTTGAAATCTTTGAGCATAACTTCATATACTGTAGCATCAAATATATCTGTTTTGTTTTGTTTTTGTCTTTTTCCTTTTTATTGGTACCAGGGATCAAACTCACGACTGCCTGCTTGCAAGGCAGGCGCTTATGCCACTGAGCTAAATCCCCAGCCCCAGCATCAAATATATCAAAACAATGTAAAACCATTCAAGAGAATGACAGTATTATAGGGTATTTAGAATCAACTAACAGAAAATGAACAATGGTTTCTGTATAATCTCCTTGTCTATAAAAGTTTTTGTTTATACTATCACTTATAATAAAATCCAATAAGATACAACATGTTAAGACCTATGGAGACAGAAGAACAAAAGCTTGATGGGACTTCAAAACAAGATGATACTGAATCAGCACTAGCTATTATGACATCGTTTTCTCCAAAATAGCTGTTCCTATCATCCAATCTTCTCTGCCTCATTTCTGTTGAGATCTTTTTCTGTCATTAGTTGTCAGTTTGTCTTCTTCATTTTGTTTTCTGCTGCATTCATTGTGGCCTCTCTCCCACTATTTCTGGATTCTTTGTATTTTTCTTTTTTAGAATATCCTGCAGTATTCTCTGTAGAGTTGAATTGGTGGTTGTATATTCCCCTAGTTCCTGTTTATCCTGGAAGCACCTGTTTTTCCATCAATTTCCAGGGACAGTTGTGCAGAATATATCAATGTTGGCTGGAGGTTATTATCTTTCAAAGCTTGAATTATTTCCCCCCACGCTCTTCGTGATTTGATGGTTTGTGCTGAGAAGTCTGCTGTAATTCTGATGGGTGTTCCCTTGTAAGTGATCTGTTTCTTGTCTCTGATGGCTTTTAATATTCTGTTCCTATATTGGATTTCTGGTATTTTGATTATTATAAGCCTGGGTATACCTCTGTTTGGGTTGTAGGTGGCTGGGGTCCTGTATGCTTCATACATCTGAGTATCTTTACCTTTTGCTAAATTAGGAAAATTCTCCTGGATTATTTCTGCAAGTAGCTTTTGTAGTTCATTTGTTTGTGTCCCTACCTCTACTTTTATGTTCTTAATTCTTGTTATAGATCCTCTTATCATCTTCTAGTTTTTGTATTATTGCTGTTTGTTTCTTTGTTATTTTTAAGAAGTTTTTCATTTCATGCTCCCATATTACAAATCTGTCCTCCAGTTCAGATAATCTATCCTTAGTTTCTTTCAAGCTGTTATGCCAGTTTTCAATAGAGTTTTTAGTTTCCTGGTAATCTCTTTGAACCTGCTTCACATATTCTATGTTTTCTCTTATTTTCTCCATCTAACAATTCTCCCCTCTTTTTCTGTTCTTTCATTCCACCATCTGTTTTTTCTTGGGTGGTGCTTAGCATTTCTCTAACTATTCTGCTTATGTCTTGCTTCAGGTCATTAATAACTTCATTCCTGAACTCGTCTATGAGGCTCTGGAGATTGCTTTATGTCTATTGGTGCCGTGTCTGCTATTGCCTGTTTCTCAGGATTGGGGGCTGAGGAGCCTTTCTTGTTGCTCCCTCTTCCCATATTCTTTGTTCCTTATATATGCATGCATATATAGGGGGCCCAGCTTTCTTCCCTGTCAGCCACAGTCTGATTGAATTGTGCCGGCTAGGTGTTCCCACCCACCGCAGCCCACCAGGGAGTTACGGACTGGGCAGCCTATGCGGGGCCCACCCCTCCAGGTCAACCTACCGAAGGCTTCACCAATAGGGTGCACCTCCAGGTGCTGGGACTGGGTTGTGCTAGCCTACTGGGTCTCAGCCAGCAGCGTCACGTAGGCTAGGCACTGCTCACCAATCCCGCTTGAGAGGGTGATATGTGACTAAAGTCACTACAGCGCCCCGTTCCAGCAAGTCTGCCCAGTCCCAGAATGTCCTCTGTTGGAGCCTCCTAGACCGTGGAAGAGTCCCAGTTTCCCTCACTCACCACAGGTCGATGCACGGCTTCCCAGCCGTCCCGCTCTCAACTCCGTTTACCGATTCCCGTTCTCAGAGCTTTTGTGCATCTCTCTCCCTTCCAAGCCGATTCAGACACAGCAGCAGCGGCAGGAAACCCAAATCATGGCTTCCAATGGCACGGGCTCCAGCTTCCACGCTGAGGCTTTATCTGTTCCTGTTATAGCACCAGGATTGCATTCCCAGTTGGTTTCTCTCAGCCCAGTTCATTCTTGGGTCAGCAGGGTATATCTCCTCTTGCTTATGATTCCTCACTCCACACCATTCCTGGATTCTAAGCTGGGTCTCTCAGAGAGCCTCCGTAGCTGCTGCTATCTGTCTGCCATGTTCTCCCGGAAGTGGGTCCAAAGATTTTTAAGGTAATAAGGAAGACTTAAGTTACTAATACATTGAGTTTTATATGGTATATTTACTTGGTCATTATATATATATATATATATATATATATATATATAGTTGAATTATTGCAAGGAGTTGTCCAGTGGACTTCCAGGAATTTATATTTATATTGATTTACATAGCATCATATGATGGAATGATGCTCTGGTCATATTTTAATGTAAGCACGTCAAACTGGGTTCATTTTTTATTGCTAAGTAACAAATTACCACAAATTTAGCCACTAAAAACAGTATCTGTTATCTCACAATTGTGTAAGGCAGAAGTCTAGATATAATATGAAGATTCTCTACTGAGGCTCTCACAAAGCTAAAACCACGTTTGTAGTTTGGCTGCATTCTCATCTGTAGGTCAGAGTCCTTTTCCAAGATCATATGGTGTGACAAGAAAAGCTATGTCTTAATTGTTTGTAGTTTTATTTCCTTGCTGGCGATTAGCTGAGAGCTGTTTTTAGCAATTAGAGTTCACATAGATTTTTTGCCACATGGAATATCCTGCAGTAGAGGATCTCTCTCATTTTTAATACTTGATGGTGTGAAGCTCTTTCAGGAAATCCACTGTCTTTGTAAAGAACTGAAACTGAGTAAGTCTGGTTCACCCAGGGTAACTTTCCTATTTTAAGGTCAGCTGATTTCAGAAATTATTTACATCTGACAAAACCCCTTTATAGAACCTAACTTACCATGCAACAACCGGGAGAAGGTATATATATATACAGAGATGGGACCTTAGTGTTTTACCCTAGACTTCTGTCTACCGTATCTACCGTGCCCACCACTGGACCTTTGTGGGTGAGAGAGGATCTATTTTACAAGACTTTTCAAATTACAATATGTATTTTCAAAGTTGGGAAGAAAATTCAAATGTAAATGAAATGAATGTTGTATCTTATTATATTTTACTATATGTGATAGTATAAACAAAATGTTTTATAGGCAAAGAGATAATATAGAAACTGTTGTTCATTTTCTGTTAGCTGGTTCTAAATACTCTGTAAGTTTTATATTTTCTTGAATGGCTTCCCACTGTCTTAATATGTTGATGCTATACTATACGAAGTTATACTCAAATACTTCAAGGAAAGAGACAGTATGGTGACTACTATTATGTTAGGTTATCTGGTGGTGAAACACAATGATGCTTAAGTTGTTTGGTTCTGGCCTGTGTTCTGTTACTATGTCCTCTTTTATCTCAATCTCCCCCTTTTTTAAAATTAATTTATTTTTTCTTATTTTTTAATTAAGGAAAAACTAAATTTAAAAATAGCGGGATATATTACAGTAACTTTTTGTTTTCCTATTAACCTGATTTGAACCCCAGTATTGCTCTCCCTGTCTTGTTCTGTCTGATTTTACTGTATTCTGTTTTGTTTGATAGTATCAAGTTTGAGGGTATAGGCAACCACTTTGAAGGTTTACTATGATGCCTATTATGGTTTGACTATTATCTTTTTTTGAAGTCCTGTAAGGTCTGCAGTGTAGGTTTTATTGGTCTTGTTCTGTACTGTTTTGATACAGGCAACTCTTTTCAAGATAGCAAGAGGCACAATGGTAATCATTTTTGATCACCTGGTATTCTATTTTTGCATCATATCCTATGTCCATTCTTCTGTTCTAACTGACTCTATTTTGTTTTGTCACATTTGGTTTTATTCTCTTCAAAAAAACAGTAATAAGAACTATGGGAGTAATAAAACCCAAAAAGTATAATTGTTATTGTAAAAAAGAGAGGAAAAGAAAGTGGCCTAAAGAATATAACTGCATGTATATTTAAGTGTGTAGGATAGAAAACCATATTACTGAGTTTTTGTTGGATCATTGAACAGAACTGTCTGCAATCTCACTGTATGAATGTCCACTTTGTATGTTTTAATTTTGTAATTTGGACAACTGTTTCTAAGATGACAATATGTAATCCATTAGCTAGTGATTTCTTACTGCATATTTTTTTCTTGAAATTCTGTACTACTTGTACCCTTTTACTTTGTTTTTTTTTCTCTTTAAATAAAAAAAAAGAAAATTTTCTCAAAAAGTCACATAGCATTTTAACTCCAGTGTTTCTATTAAAACTAAGAAGAAATTGTGAATTCCTAATTTATTTATTAAAACTCTAGAATCTATATTTATTAGAACAAGTAGTTCATAAAAATTAATGGAGTATGTAATAAAAGGAAATAAAGATGACATCACTTATATGTATAGAAAATTTATTTTTTTATTTATGTATTTACTGGTATGAGACTCAAACTTAGCACCTTACATTTGCCAGGCAGGTACTATGCCGCTGACCTATATCCCTGGCCCTAGGAAATTAATTTTTTAAAAATAATGTTTGCAAACACACCACAAACAATATTTCATTCAAAGGAAGAAATGAAATTTGAAAGCTATGTAAGTAGTTTCAGGGCTTTTGTTGGAGTTGGAGGAAGGGGAGTTCCCCCTCAGTCCCTGTGCTTCGGGTCACCTTGCCAATCCTAAGTGCCAAAGCTTCTGTCACACAGCTGTCTCCCACTGATGATCGGGGTTTGATTCCAGGATTTCAGATACCAAATTTGTAGGTGGTCAATAACACAGATGCTCTATTACTGTATATAGCCTGTATACATCCATCTTTAATTTATTTCAACTCTAGGTTATGTTTAATTGATACATAATTTGTTAATATATAACTTGTTAATACAAGGTAAATGCTATATAAATAATTATTGCATTTCATTGTTTAGGCAGCAATGTATGTCAGTCCAAGTGTAACTTTTTCCCTCTCAAATATTTTTCACTGAAGTTTGGTTGAATCCACAGGTGCTGAAGCCATGGCCAGGGAGGACTGGCAGTGTGTGTGTGTGTCCGAGTGTGTGTGTGTGTCCATCTGAGTGTGTTGGTGTGTGTGTGTGTGTGTGTGTCTGAGTGTGTTGGTGTGTGTTTGTGTGTGTGTTTATGTATATGTTTAAGACCTAGCCATAAGAAGCTGAGTGAGCAGGAGAAATTGTCTGGTCTTGGAATCCAGAAAAAGAAGAACTGCTTCTATTTCAAGCTGCCCCCAACATTGACCCCAGATCACCCAGGTAGTATTAGGCAAGTCAGGCAATTAATACTTTTTTCCTAGCTTCTGCTTAGTTGATGTCATTTGGGAAGATGAACTTCTAGAAGGGGACCTTTTTGGTAAGAAGCAAGAAGGTGCTTGTCTGCTTGCTTTGGCTTGCTGAGGACCTTAATCAAGTCACTGCCTTTCTGGCCTTTGGTAGGTAAACGCATGTGTAAGAGTCCAGGGCCTGGCCAGGCCCAGCTCACTGACAGTGTATGGAAGGACAGGGAAGAGGAAAAGCCAACTATGATTCCTAGATAATTTGGCATTTAGTTAGGTGGGAAAAGACCAGGTGTGTGGGAAAGGAGAAGGAAGCAAAGATTCTATTTTGAACAGGATTGAGATGCCAATAGATGTCCACCATGATTTGAATGTCCCTTCCAAAACCCATGTTGAAATTTAATTGCCATTGTAACAATATGGAGAGGCCTTTAAGAGGTGATTATTTCATGAGAGCTCTGCCCTCATGAATGGATTAAGTCCATTAGTGGGTTTGTTATGAATTCTGCCTCTTCCTGTGCATGTTTGCATGATGTCTGCCCTGATGAGATGCTAGTGCCATGCTCTTAGACTCCCCGGCCTCCAGAATGATGAGCAAATATTTTATTTGCTTTGCCCTTGTTCTGTTACGGCAGCAGAAAACTGTTCCAGTGGAGATGTCAGGTGAGTGACTGCACATTGGAATAGGAAGCTGGAGGACTTGGCTGAAGCTGTACACTTTTACATACCACATAGCTGGAATTACTGGTGTGTGGCAAATCTGTTGTAAATTATTGTTGTGTTTTTACCTATTGACCTGTCGAATCTCTGACATTCTTAAAGTTCACTATAAGTTTAGCACAATTTAAAATATGTGATAAATCATCTCAAATCACCTAATCATCACAACAAACTTGAGACTCTTTGAAAAATATCTTCATAGAGAATGAGACTGAAGCTTAGAGAGGTTAAATAATTTCTCCAGCCATGACAGCTAATAAGCAGCAGGAGAGTCTGCTGGATCTGTCAGTCTAATGAAAATTCTGACCTCCACAGACAAATTTAGAAATGATCAGCATGTAACTAGTAAGGTAAACACATTTTTCCTTCCACAAGGAAATGATGTATACTTTATGTTCATAAACAAGGAATATATGGAGTCTCTCAAGAGAACTCTCAGGATGGAATACATAGTAAATCAAGCTTAGGAACTTATCTCTGCACATCAAAGTAAATCCATCTTTCAGGAATGGATTCACATTAACCTAGTTTATGAGTCTGATTTTTAAAAATAGAAGGTCAAATTACAATGAGAAATCACTATCACAGAGTCAAGGATGTCTAAAATCCACGCAGCTAAGTTTTATTAGTGGGTTGCGGTGAAGGGTGGCTTGAGACAGGACCTCAGGTATGTATGTAGTCCAGGCTGGCCTGGAATTGTGTAGCTCAGGCTTGCCTCAGGCTCATGGTTATCCTTTTATTTCAGCCTCTTGAATGCTGGTGTTACAGATGTGCACCACCCTGCTCAACTGCTGCTGCTGCTACTGATTTTCAAATTATTATTCTTACAATGAGTAAAAATGTGGGATAGTTAGTGACCTTAAGTGAAGAGAACCCAAGTCATCTATGCAACTATTAGGATGCTCGTCCAGGAAGAAAGTCTTGTGATGCTCAGTGCCCTTAATCTGCTCTCTTGTCTCATCATCTCAACCCTGACTGCACTTTTATCTCCCTCCAGCTTATGTGATTTAATCTCATCTGGGACAGCATTTATAATCCCAGCCGTTTGGCTCCCCCCATAGCAAAAACTGGATTAGTAAAACACCTCCTGAATTGTGTTGTGTGTTTCAATAGATAATGCCTTTTTTTCCTTCAGGGTGGGGATCAAGCCCAAAGCTTTGCCCATGCAGGCGTCCCTGTATCACTGAGTTACACCTCCAACCCAACAATAACATTTTTTTTTCTATTGAGATCTTCCTTGTTTAAGGCACTAATCTGACAAATCCTCCTTCTGACAGTGATTTAGATACCGAAACAAGTTCTGTCAAGTTATTATTAAATTTTATTTTTGGGGTCCCATCTGGATCTTCACTTGTTCCCACAATTTTACTTAAGCCTCAGCTGTATTAATTACTGATAATACAACTTTAGCCATTTAGTTTGTCTGTCCTTACTCTTTTAATCTGTAAAATGGGGAAATTATATCAAAGTCGTGGAACTACTACTCAGTTCTTAGGATGTGAAAAGGATGTGAAAGCATTCAGTGCATATTGTCTGTTAAGTATGTATCTGGTACCACTGTATGCTGAATTTTAATATAAATTCTCAACATAACCTTCAAGTTCTTAAAACCCAATGATGTGCTATAAAATCCAGTGATTATAATATTAGTTACAGGTGTTTTTGGATCTGAAAAAAGGGAGGATGTGGAGGAGTTCAATGGAACCTATACCATGGACTTCAGAATTGGGCTAAGAAATAGTAATCTAGGAGATTTTTAAAAATCATGCAGGGAAGCTAGGTTTTGCTCAGTGACACAGCATATGCTTAGCACATGTGAGGTCCTGGGTTCAGTCTCCACATACACACTGTGGGGAACATTAGGCATTTATTTATTTACCATTTAACAGTATGATGAATAATGGTTTTAAAGGTATAAAATAGCTGGGCATGGTGGTGCATGCCTGTAATCCCAGCCCTTGGGAGGCTGAGGCAGGAGGATTGCCTGAGTTTGAGGTCAGCGTGAAATACAGAAAGAGATACTGTCTCAAAAACAAAATAGACAATAATAAAAGTACAAAATATAGATTATAGAACAGCAAATTATATTTTTATTAAAATATTCCAAACTCAGATTTGTGTCAGCTTATGTTCTTTTTGCCTCCTGCATTACAAGTGATAGAACCCAAAGCCCTGGGCATGCTAGGTAAGTATTCTACCACGGGGCTCACCCATCCTTGGCCCAGGGGAGGTTTGAAAAGACAAAACGAGAGGGCGACATCAGATACTGTGACACAATAATCACTGACCCTAATGATTAATAACAAAGCTGAGGTTGAACAGACTATATTCGGGCAATGTCTATGCAGAAGTACTTTCCATACAAGGTTCTGCAGAGTCTTCGGTGATAATTACTACAGATAATCATGCGTGAGCGTATTCCCTTCGTAGTGTCCGGCTTTATTTTTCTAGGAGGGCTAATTCAAAAACTCTGTTATAGTTGTTGACAGCCTGGTACTCTGAAGTTCATGATTGCTTGGAACTCACTATTTAGCACAGGCTGATCTTGAATTTATGATCCTCCTGCCTCAGCTTCCCACATGCTGTGATTATAGCCATGCCTCATTAACTTCATTTTCATACTGTTTCTTCCAAATGTCACATTTCAGCTAGGATTAATAGAAGTAAAGATGTAATTTTCCCATCCATATTTGTATCGTCCGTGGACCCTATATTAAGAACTGATTGTCAAAGCACAAAATTACAGCAGTTTAGTTAAAGGATTTTATTTGGCTTTTTTCTTATTCTAAAACTAGGCAGTACTTTGTTCCTAAAATACAGTAAATACATCAATGAGCCAAGCAGAACATGTTGGTCATATAAATATACAAAAACTTAAAATAGAAATAAACAAAACCCAAAAGAAAAATTTGCTATTTCAGAGGTAATTTATCTGCGAGGTAGGACAGGAATACAGACTAATTGGAACATTATTGTCAGATGTCAGTTTATTTCAAATTCTTTTGTGTAAGGATTAAAACAGAAGCAAGGAGTTGACTCCTAGATACATATGAATTACCCACACCAAATGAAAAATATTTAAAAACCCTGAATAATCCAATAACAGGCAATTAAATTGAAGCAGTAATAAAAACTCTACCAACTAAAAGAAGCCTTGGACTGCCTAAATTCACTGCTGAATTCTATGAAAACTTCAGGGAAAATCTAATACCAATACTTCTCAATTTCTACAATGAAATTGAAAGGGAATTCATACGCCCAAAGTCATTTCTGGAAGTGACTCTAACCTTGATTCCAAAGCCAAGGATTCATGCAATAAACAGAACTATAGACCAATCTCTTTAATGGATATAGGTGCAAAAATCCTCAATAAGTTACTGGCAAACAGTAGACTTCATCCTTGGGGTGCAAACATGGTTTAACATACATAAATCGATAAATGTAACACATCACATAATCAGATGCAAGGAAAAAAACACATGATCATCTCAGGAGTCATGAGAAAGTCCTTGACAAAAATCCAGCACCCTTTCATGATAACATTTGAGAAAATAGGCATACAAGGATCTCTCTCAATCTGATAAAGATCCATCGATGACAAAGCTACTGTGAACATCATTTTAAATGGGAAAAAGAAACAACTTTCTCTTTAACATCAGGAACAGGACAAGGATGTCCACTATCACCACTCCTCTTCAACATAGTACAAAATAACCAAAGCAGTTAGACAAGAAAAAGACTATGTATGGAATAAGTTAAGTTACTCTTATTTGTAGACAATTCTATATAGAAGAAAAAAAGACCCACCAAAATATTCTCAGAATTAATAATGTATTAGGTTGCAAATTAAACACAAAAATCAATAGCATTCCTGTACACGAAGAATGGACCCACCTAGAAAGAAATTAGGAGGATGATACCATTCATAATGACATCAAGAAAAATCAAACACTTAGGAATTAATGTAACTAAGGGAAGGGAGTAACCCCTAGGATGAAAATTACAGCACTTTGAAAATGAAAATTAAAAACGATATCAGCAAATGGAAAGATACTCCATGTTCCTGAGTATGCAGAATCAGTGTAGTGAAGATGGCCATACTTTCAAACTGATACACAGGTTTTAACACAATCCCAATCAAAATGCCAGAAACATTCTTCACAGAACTGGAAAAAATAATCCCAAAATTCCTACGGAACCAAGACAGACCCACAGTAACAGAAGCAGTCCTGGTTAATGCAGGAGGCATTACAACCCCAAACAGAGTTACATTAGAAAGCTACAGTGATAAAAACAGCCTGGTACGGGCACAAAAACAGACAGGATCAGTGGAACAGAGTAGAGGATGCACAAACAACCCCAAGCATATGCAATTACTTGATTTTTGACCAAGAAGCCAAAAGCACGCACTGGAGGAAGGAAGGTCTCTTTACTGAATCATGTTGGAAAAACAGGCTATTCATATGCAGAAGAGCCAACCAGACCCATGTCCCACACTGTGTATGGAACTAGTTTCAAAATGGATCAGTGAACTAAATCTTAAAACAGAAACAGGTGTTGAAAGATAAAATAGGTAAAACTTTTGAAGTCAGAGGCGTAGGCAAGGACTTTCTGAACAGAGCCCTGGTTGCACAGGAACTATTATTGAGAATCAACAAATGGAGTTTACAGTATTAAAAGTTTCTGCACAGAAATAAAAACTGAGTGAAAAGAAACCCTACAGAATGAGAAAAGAAATTGCCAGGTATTCCTCAGATAGACGACTAACACATAAAGAACTCAAAAACTTAGACTCTTCAAAATAAATGACAATGAAAAACATGGGCAGCGAAAATGAAGAGATGCTTAACCAAGAAGTACAAGTGGCCGATAAATACACGAAGCAATGTTCAAATTCTTTGGCTGTTAGCAACATGCAAATTAAAACAACACTGAGTTCATCTTACCCCCAAAAGGATGATCACCATCAAGAAATCAAATAATAACGTGTTATTGAGGCTGCAGGGGAAATGGAGCCTTCCACATTGTTGGTGAGATGCAAACTAGTACACTCACTGTAGAAAGCAGTGTAGAGACTCCTCAAAAAACAAAGAATTTCATTCTATCCAGCAATTTCCCTTCTGGGTGTTCTGCAAGACATCACGTTACAATGAATACCCTTGTTTATATCAGCACAGTTCATACTAGCTAAATCTTGGAAGCAGCCTCTATGTCCATCAACAGAGAGGTGGGTAAAGAAAATGTGGTATAGTTTGGAAGACAGGCTGCCTTGATATAAACTAAGGTACATAAAGCAACTAAATGCTTGTATTGTCTGATTGATTTTGCAGGCCTGGGGCCAGCGGTCTGAGCATCCTTTGGGAGGATTACTATACAATATAGCAAATCTGGGGCATTTCCTTCTATCTTGTCTTTGAAATCCAATATTGCTTTCACTGTTTTGCTTTGTTCTGATTGTTTTGCTTTATTTAATATTCTATTTATTTGGCTTTATTGTGTCATGCTTTGGTTTGATTTTGCTATACCTGATGGAATGAACAACTATTATGAAGATAACAAGATATACTATGGTAGCTGTTGTTGTTTTCCTGGTATCCTGCTTTGAAGGTTTGTACTCATTTTGTTGCATTGTTTTAACCGGTTTTGTTCTGTCTTGTTTTGTTGGATATTACTATTTTTAAAATTAAAAAAGAAAATGTGGTATATTTATACAGTGGAGTAGTACTCCACCATAAAGAAGGATAAAACTGAGTAACATATAGCTAACATGTAGGAAAATAGATGCACCTTGAGACCATAATAATAAGTGAACTAAATCTGTATATAAGCTTATACATCGAATGATTTCTCTTGTATGAGAAACCCAGAATACAAATAAAAGCCAGGTCAGGAGTGGTGATGCATGCCTGTAATCTCAGTACCTAGGAGTCTGAGGAAGGAGGGTCACTGCAAGTTTGTGTCACCCTGGGCTATATAGTGAGTTCTATGTTGGTCTGAACTACATGGCAAGACCCTGTCTATAAACAAACAAACAAACGAACAAACAAACAAATGCTAGATAATAGGAAATAGGGAGCTAGATCTTTCCCAAATGGAAAGGGGACCAGGAGATGGAGTGGGCGGGGAGAAAGGAGAGGGAAAGATCTTGAAACAACAATTAAAATGTGTTATGTACACGTACCAATTCCACACAAGGTGTGTAAACGTTATGTACCGGAAATATGCTGACAAACCCTTAGGCTGTGGGTTAATTCGTTATGTGCAGGATATGTGTATATTTTACCTGGTAATTCCAAACTGCTTTTGTCATTCACTCCTGATACTTCCCACAGTACAAAACTAATAAAACCTTGTGGCTAATTTTCCAAGTCAATTTCAGGCTTATTGCTTAACAAAAAATCAGAAGCTACTTTCTTATCAAACCAATTGAAACTGGCCTGCTTGGGAAACATACACTGTTCCAATCCTGATTTCAGAGTGGCTATGTTAAATAGCTTGGTTTTCAGTTGATAACCATGGCTTAGTGCACATGACTCTATTTTGATGTTTAGCATGGCCAAAATTGCCACCTGTAATTTTTATTTAATACCGTGCTTTACAGGGCTGTAGTATTGACCAAAGAAAGAGAACTTTTGAAGGAGAAAGCACCCTTATCTTTGAAAGCCAATGGTTATTGGCTCTTAGAGTTTGTGGCCTTCCTTGTTCAAAGACCCAGCTGCCAGCAGACCCTGGACTCTTCTGGCCACCAGCGATGGTGGCTGGTGACAATTCTTCATTGTTCTCTGCTGCCACACGTCAGCCTTTAGCAACCCCAGCATCTGGTGGCTTTGGGTGCCAGTAGCCTGGTGTTACCAATCCTGGCTGCGGTGGGTTTCTGTGCCATACCCTTTCAGCCTTTAGTGCTTCCGTCTTCAGCTGCAGGCTGTATTTGGTGCCAGTAGCCTGTGATGTTATCAGCTCTTAGTGTACCTTGGCATGATCCACTTGAGACAAAATCATGCCATTCAGAAGGAGTTTTATCCGGACATGTGCTGCAGCATAAGGGGTTTTAGCACAGGAATGGCACTTACTAAGAACAGGGGAAGTGGCTTTAAAAAGAACAGGGTTTACATGGGCACCATATTGAACATTCGGCCTGGGCATGAGGAGGGGAGAGGACCCTGCTGCAGAAGGGCTACAGGGCAAAGTCACAGGTCCACGTTTGGTTTGCTGTAGTCAAATCTCCCTTGGGGTGGTTTTGGAGTGTGGTGTAGAGAGGTGGGCTGCAAGGCATTTGGGGTAGCTGTGAAAGAAAAGCAATTTTCTTAGGGAATGGCAGACCCTTATCTGCTATCCCAGTGAGATATCGTAAGCATGAAAGTGCTTATTTGGTTTATTACTTTGCTGGAAATCATGATATATTTTCATTAGACAAATTAGAGGCATTAGCGAACTAACAAAAGTTTGAAGACTAACTGGGGAGATACAAGCATGAGACACTGACAGGCAGACTGAGGTTCCACTTTAAGGATCTTGACTGTGAGGGGAAGCATTATAGAGGGATGCTTGTTAGTCTGAGGGAAGATTGAGTACCCAGGGAAGCAGTGTGGGCAGATGCATGCAATTTAGGGAATGAGTGTTAGAGGACAGTCATGGTGGTGCATGTCTGCAACTTCAGCACTCTGGAGGCTGAGGCAGGAGGACAGCTTTGAGCCAGAGGCCAGCCTGTGCTACACAGTGAGTTCAGAGCCAGCCTGAACAACATAGCAAGGACCTGTCACTGCTGCTCCCTTCTTCCCACCAGGAAAAAAAAATAGAAAGGGGAATCTGGAGAGTTAAGACAGAGCGAATATACATGATGCAAAGAGACCTCTGAGGAAGCAAGAAGGGGCAGGGACAAAGGGACAATAAGGGCATCTATCTGAGACCAGGAAAAGAACATCCACTGAGAGGGGCTGCAACACAGGAGGCAGATGCAGGAAAACCCTTAGGTAGAGAGCAGAAAGTGGGAAAAGTTTCAAAATTGAAATTTATCCTTTTGTTAGTTCCTTTGCAGCCTCTTACAGAAATGGGCATGTACTCTAGGTAGAGACAGTAGGCCTTCAGAGCCCCAAAGGGAGGTTATTCCAAGAAGGGTATCTGCCTCCACCAGGAACTGAAAGGCTAACATTGAGCATTCGTGATTTAACTTCTGGGCTTCAAGAATGAAGGTGACTTATTGGTTTATTCTGTTAGTAATTTTTTACAGCAAATTGGGTCCTTTTTCCCTCTCAGAATTGTGGAACCAATCACAAGAGCCAACCACTGATTGGTCAGTGAAGGAGATGCATTCTTGTCTAAGAATAGAAGAGGTAAATTCCCAAATAAACTTCTTGATCCCTTGGGGTTGGGAGGTTATAGATAAAGAGTAAAAATGAGAGGGAATGGTAAACTAATACAAAAAGCAATATTGCTATCTTTTCTGGGAATAGGAGATTTTCCAGGAATTTGGGCACTGTCTTTTTTCCCCACTGCTTGATGCTTCATTCTGGTCATCCTTGTGGAAGTTGTCAACTGTGCTCTTGCAGTATATCCTAGTAGCATGTGCAAGGGGCGTTTGACAAGAGACCCGCCCTTGAAATGAGCTCGATGGCCTCCTGGGAGTGCATTAATGTCCAAACAAAAGTCTAGAAAGAATGGGAAGTTGATGCAGGGACAGTAGCCAACAGTGCCACTACAAGGGAATCTGGAGGCAGAAGCCTGGGATTTAAACCGAGGCTCTGTCACTTTTGAGCTCTAGAGAAATTAATAAACCTTTGAAAGCTTTTCTTCAGTAGGAAAAGAGAAATAGTAA